GTTGAGGGAAAATGTTCAAATCTGGCAAGGAAGAATTTCCTCCAATGGAGGCTCAGCCCGCACTGCTGTGATTTATGGGGCTTGGCACAGCCACTGCTACATCCACACACACACACACATGCACACGTCTCATCCCCGGCTCTACCAGCCCTGCTACCCCATAACTTTTGGTCTGGGAATATTATTTTGGTGTATGGAAAGCCCAGCTTCTTGTGGGATCACTGAGCCCACCATGGCTGCTTTCTGCTCCACAGCATCCCCTAAAAAACTCTGCTCACCTCCTCCATCATCCCTCTTGCAGCAACACAGTCACCCAATCAGCTCAGCACCCTCCAGGGCAATGCCCTTTGTCCCTCTCTGCACAAGACCTTCCCTTTCACCCTCTCATTTTTTTATTGCATCTCAGCCTGGTCACCTTCTTGCCCCCCAGCCAGGGAGGAGGGGTCAGGGCAGCAGGGGCAGCACCCACCCTCAGCCCAGGGTGCTGGAACCAGCTCGTTCTGTCTTGCAGGAGCTGACATTTTCCTTTTTGTTTCCCTTGTTTCCTTGGTTTCAAGGTTTTTCTTCCCCACTGAGCCCCTAATTAAAAAAAAAACTCTGGAGGAATCTCAGATTTGGGGTGCTTGGAGTGGAGTTGTATCTGCCCTTGCCTCCTCGGTGTGTGACCCAACCATCTTGCCCTGGTTCCTTGTTTTTTGCCCCAAAGCTTTTAAATCCCCCCTTCCCCCTGTTCCAGAGCCATCCAGACTCCAAACCCCATCAGATCCCCCTGCTCAGCATTGCCCAACCCTGGTCCCCACCGTGCTGGGGTGTGAGTCCTCCCCCTCTGCTGTCCCCGGCTTCCCTCTGTGTTTTCATTAGGATTTGGAGATAAGCTTTCAAATAAAGGCAGTGTTTTTAACCACTTTGCCTTATCAGCCGGCATCCAACAGCATTCCCCATCCACACAGCGAGGCTTGAAAGATGCTCTAAGGGAAAAAGGGACCTCAAACATCCCAACCTCTCCTTCTCCCAGCCCCACAGCCTGAATTGTGGCTCTGGAGGGCACCAGTGGCTTTGGGAAACTATTTCTGCCATTACTGGTCCCTGCTCGGGGACAGCAGTGTCAATGCATGAATACAACCCAAGGACCAGCTTGGCACACCTGGATTTTATTCCTGGTTCTGCCACTGGCCTGAGGATGACCTTTGCAAGTTTTTTCCCTTCCCAGTGCCTGTGTCTCCATTTGCTCTCCCTCTCTCAGCCCAGCGACCCCCTGCCCGGCCAGATAACCCCCAGTTCAAGGAGACTCCATCTGAGTTCACATCACCCCCCAAAAAAGGGGTGCAAACAGCAGCAGCTCCAAGCATCAGTGGGTGCTACATCCCCCAAGCACTCACTAGATCCCCTCCAAGCCCCCTCCCTGCTGGGCCATCCCGTGGCTCATTTTTCCAGCGTGTATGCGAAGTCCTGAATACAGGAACCAGCTGCCAGCAGTTTCCAGCCCCCAAAAGCTGCCCTAGGGAAAATCAGCTCCTCACATGAGCCTCACCACAGGGGTGTCCCCTGGGACAGGGCTGGAGATGGTCTTGCTCTATTCCTCTAAGTATTGGGGATCATGTGAGAGGGAGATGTCCTCCAAGGATGTCCACCAATGATGGCAACAAACTCGCCCCACTAAGCATGCAGCTGCTTGGAGGCAGCAAACCATCCCAAACACCCCAGACAAGCCCTATCATGGTTGCCCAAAGAGCTCCCACCTCACAAAGGGTCCCCATTAGAGCTCAGCCCTGTTAGAGACCCATTACTGGCAGTGCAGGAGGATTTCTACCTGACTGGCACAGAAAGGAACCCAAATATAGGCTGTTCCTACCCCTCCCTGGCAGGATGTCAATGCACAGGAGGCAGAGGCTCCCATGGGATGCAGGCAGGGGAGGCAGGAGGTGATGCCTCAGACCCTGGGTGCAGTGTCCCACTCACACCACAGCCCTGCTGAGCTCCATCCCTGCACACCCCGTGGGGGGCACAGAGCCCTCCCCACCCCGGGGCAGGAGGGTGGTGGTGCAGCCTGGTAGCACCCAGCTACACAGCAAAGCCAGCCCTGGGAGTGTCACAGGAACCTAGGATTAGGAATGGCAGGGGTAGATGTGGGCCATGTTAAATGCCCCCAGTGCAGAGGGGAGCCCAACAACCTCCACTGCAGGCCCTGCTGCCAGAGCATGCGAAGAATCCCAATATCAAAGCACTTTGAGGGAATTGGATCTGGCCACAGCACTCAGCATGGTGGCTTTTGGGGGCAAATGTGTCATGCTGGGAGTTGCTGGGTCCTCTCACCTCCATCCTGAACTCGCTGCCTTCCATGAGTCAGAGCCTGTCTTGAGGATGAGGCTGTTTCCTGTCTTTTTCCCAAACAAGGTCCCCAACCACACTGAAAAACCTCGAGTCCACCAAGCCCTCTCTTGTGGACAGCAGAGATCTGGCAGATTGCGTGGGGCTGGCGTTCTTCCTCCCTTCCAGCTGTTAAATCGCATTATAGACAGTTAAAAATACATCACATACTTTCCTAATGTGACTTTTCCGTGGTAGAGCAGCACTGAGATGCTGGAGTTGAAGGAGAGCTGCTCACTTGTGCCCATGGATGGCCAAGAGAGTGGCTCTGCCAGCATAGCCCCAAATTTGGGTCCCACTGAAGGGAATTACATGGCCCTGTGGGACCTTTGGCCTTGGCAGGACCAACCCAATGGTCTCACTGCCTCTTGCCTCAGTTTCTCCACTTGTAAAAGCATTTATGGTCCATCCTCTGCCATGAGATCTCACACGAATTAAACTTGACATTGTTTGTTGGGCTCTACAGAAAAAGGGCCTTTTGCACAGGGATCAGAGGTTAATAGAAGTCCAGGGTTGAGCTGGAAATGATCTGTTAATACATTAGAGCGGAAAAGCTTAATTCCTGAGTGTGACTGGAACTGGCACATGGAAATACCAGTGGGATGTGGCCTGGCCAGAGCCCACAGTGGGCACAGGGCAGTGCTGGGGCAGCTGAGCTCAGCCTGAGGCAGCAGCATTGCTGTGAGCCATGTGTGAGCTGGGATCAGTCTCCCCTTCCAGCAGCACAGCAAGCTCTGCTGCCTGAGGTGGGTGGAAAAAAGGCCCTTTGGTTTGCCAGAGCACTGGAAGGAGCAACCTGTGTCCCCAAAGATGGGTTCCCTTTCAGCTGGAGACACCCGTGGTGTGGAGAAGGCAAAGGGAGAACAAAGGTGATTCCTTTTCATCCAGGTGCTGACAAGATGGGTCCATCAGCCCCCTTCACCCTGCCTGGGCTGCATCCAACCAGACCACCCTGACAGAACCTTCTCAGCCTTTCACAGGACTGATGTGGCCTCAGGTACCCCAAGACACCCCAAAAGAGCCAGGGCACGCTGGACCCCAGCAAGGAGCTGGGATGGGGAGGAGGGTCTGTAAGAGAGAGAGGAAGGAGTTAAACCCCCAGCACTGCCAGCCCCCCTTCCTGCTTCTCTGCTAACTTTGGGAGGAAGGGAATAGCATAAAGGTAAGAGTGGAGGAAGGAGAGAGGAGACAGATGAGAGAAGGAGTGAGGGAGAGGGGGAGCGGGAGAGAGGAACAGACGGCAGAGAGGGAGAGCGTGGGGGGGAAGATGCTGACGCTTCTCCTCCATCTCTGCGAGAGGCAGATAGAGGGGAGCAAGGGGGGGGGGGGGAAAAGAAGGCAAAGACCAAGGGAACATGGGAGAGGGAGAAGGAAGGAGCCGGAGCGAGGGAGCATGTGTGAAAGTCGCAGTGAGAGAAGGGGCCTCTTTGATTCCCCGTGCCTCATACCAGACAGTGTCTAGACTGCAGCAATTATTGTCAGCTCAGAACACCCAGGCATTGCCATTTCAGCTGAAAGGAGGCTTAACAAAGAGCGAGGGAGAAAAAAAATACCCTGCCGGCGGTGAGCTGGGCTCCCTCCAGCACAAGGGGCTCTTCGGAGGGCCCTCCATCGCCCGCACCCCCCGAGAGCCCCAGCCCCAGGTGCCTTCCCCCGGGGGGAGTTGCTGTGGAGGCGGCCCCGGACTGTGAGCGACTCCCAACCCAGCCCTGGGTCTTTGGCTGGTTTTGGGATGGAGCTGCTGTTCAGCTCTCCCTTCAAGCTCAGGTTATGGGGCTCAGGGAATGGGGGACAGGGCTGGGGTGAAAGGCCCCCCTGGGGAGGTCAGGGGCAGCTTCCCAATGGGCAGCATTTGGCTGTGAGTGCCCATGGAGCTGCTCCCCAGGCCAGCAGCAGACGGACACCTCGGCCTCATCACAGAGCCTGGGGGATTCACAGGCCTCCTCTGAGCAGTGGGGATGTGAATCACAGAGCTGGGCATCTTCCCCCTGCTTGGACACCCCACTGCACGCTGTTCCAGCAGCTCCTCAGCTCCGCTGGGTTTTAGGATATGATGGGAGCTCACTCGTGCAAAATCACGGGAATAAAAATCATCCCTCTCCTCTGCTCCATCCTGCCCCACCACCACCACTGGAGGAGTTACCTTTTCCCTTCTCAAGCCATTTGACCTCTGAGGGGCTTTTGTGCCTTTGGAGGTCTAGGATGTGGCTGAGACTCCCAGGTGGGAACTAACACCCAGAACTGGCTGTGAGTCAGGAATTCCTGCCTCTTGCTGGAAACACCCACCCCGTGCCCACCCCAGCCCTTTGGTGAGAGCCAGCTCCAAATACCTCAGAGGAGAAGAGGTGAGGAGGAGAGTTTTTGTGCCCTGTCTCCACCACATCTGTGGTTTTGGGGGTGGTGATGATCCCACCCAGCCGTCCGTGGGGCTGCCCTGCAGATGATCCCCTTTGGGAGCATCCCCAGCTCCAGGGCTGTGCCACCCATTTTCAAAATTTGGGTGCAAACAGCAGCATGGCCTAGCGACCTTCTCCACTGCTGGATGGCACTGAGGGCCATCCCTGTGGATGCCTACAGTCTGTCTGCTGGGAAAGGCGGCCTATCCCTCCAGATGCCGGAGCACAGCTCTGGTTTAATTAGCACTTTTAATGCTTGGAAAGGAGGCGCGAGGGAATACCCAGCAGGTTGGACATGTTTTCCTCACTAGCGATCCGGCTTGGCAACAGGGAAGCTCCCCAGCTTCTGCTTGCTCGGCTGGGATGGGGTGACACTGCCCTGGGGTCTAAAGCATGGCAAATACCCTCGGTGAGCCCCACTTGGGCCCCTCAGAGCAGGGACACCTCTGTCAAAAGGCATTTTTGTAGAAAACCCAAGCAGACTGCACGCTCTGCCAGTGTGGGCTGCACTTTGAGCGGTGCCTGACCCAATACTGCTACCCAACAGCTCAGCTGTTTGTCCTTGTCCCCTCTCTGCCGTTCAGAAACAACATCCATTTTCTGGCCAGGCCTGGTCATGTCTGCTGAATCAAGGACTTCTTCTCCCCTGGGTACACGGCACTGATGTTGCTGTGTGGATAAAATCAGTCTCGCTCAGGATCTGGCTGCTGTGGCAGAGCAGAGGAGACGACAGCACAAGTCCCACAAAGGACCAGGAAGGCAAAACCTGCCTGGGGCAAGGCTCATTCCCTTGTTACCTTGGCTGGCCATGGTGTGTCTGTGCAGATGATGCCATTTCCCAGTGCAGGGTTCCCCGTGTGAGAATCAGAGGAGGAAAGGGCTGGCAACGCTTCTCCCGTGGAGGACACTGAGCTTCCAACAAGTGTGGGTGCTGAAGTGAAAGAAATACTTGATATGAGCAGTGGCAGGTCTTCCCCTTGTGAGCTTGGCCAGAAAGTGTTTGACCTTCACAGGGGACTTTTGGCCAGCCCGCCCTGACCCAGGGCTGGACCACAAGGAGCCCAGACCTGTGACATTATCTGTGGTCTTAGGGAAGTGTTTCCCCGAAGACCTGTCAACTGCAGGGCTTCTAAACTATCACCCCAGGGCTTTGGACCAGACTAGACACAGCCATACAATGCACCAGAATTGCCACCAGAACTGCCACCAGAACTGCCACCAAGGCCTCTCTGAAGGTCTCTGATGTTGAACTCCCATTGAAGTGCGGTGAGGCAGTGCAAGAAAAAAGACCTTGCCTTCTTCAGCATGATACCTCCAATGTCCCTCCTTCAGGCACCCTGACCTCTGTTCCTGAGCAATTTGGGGAGCCCCAACTCTCCACAATAGCCCTGCAAGACCCAGCCCAGCAGAGACATGTGAAGTCCCACCAGCAGCTCCTGAAGCTGCCGACATGTGCCCATAGCCAGACCTCCGCTTTGGTGCCTGCCCTACATCCCCTCAGCCCTCTGAAACGGCCACAGCCCCAAGCAGCAGGGAGAGGAGGGACCCGGGAAGCCACAACGGCTGGTGTACGTGCTGTGTGTGTGAGAGGGTGGGTGGGAAACCGGCCGCATCCTGCTCCCAGCACCAGCCCGGGGGGCACCGCCATGGGCAGGGAGAGGCCGGAGGTGGCGAAGGAAGTGAGGGCACAGGGCACCCCGGGCTCTCTGGCCACAGCAAGGGCGCTGCCAGCCGGACCTGGCACCGTTCTGCATCCTGTCCCGTCCCGTCCTGTCCTCACCACGGCGCCAGGGCGGTGCAGAGAGGACTTGGGCAGCCCTGGCACCCCTGTGCCACACCACGACCCTCGCTTGCCTTGCCTTCCCGCTCTCCTCTCCCCTCTGCAAAGCTGTCTGCAAATGCCAACTGCCTGTTTTTCCAGTTCCTCCAGATTTACCCCCTCCTTCTCCTCCTCCCCAACTCCCCCCCCCCCCTTCCTTCCTTTCTTCTTCCTGGGTTAAAAATAATCAAGTTTCTGGGAAGCAGCAGCCCTGCTGCGCCTGCCTCCCTGCACTCGCGCCCCGGAGAATAGCTCGGCTCGGCTCGCTCCGGCCCCTCCTCGCTGCTCTCTCCTTCCTCCTCCCCACCCCCTACAGGGATCTGACTAATATGCTTGGGCTCTGCTTGCCAGCTCAGCTGGAAAGGAATTTAACCATTGCCTGGCCTGGAGGGAAGGAGCAGAGAGCCTGGACCTCCCCCCATCACCCGGGACCCCCGGGCTGGGTCCCTGCCCGGCTCCCTTGGGCGCTTCCCAGAGGGTGATGGAGGAGGAGGGATGCACGGTGCCAGCATCCCACAGCGAGTGGTGGTCCCAGCCCCGAGCCCCACGCAGGTGCAATAACCCTCGTGGGCTCCCTCAGTGCTTTCCTGTAGGTGAAATGCAGCACCCCAGTGCCGTGGTCCCCGTGGCTCGGCTCGTGAGAGCTCCTCATCCAGCCATGGGTGCTCTCTGGGCACCCCTATCCCTGCCTGCAACTCGCCACAGGCCTCAGCTCCGGGTGAGGGTGGGAGCTGGGGTCCCACTCCATGCTGCCTGGGGGTCACGGTGGGATCAGCAGCTCCAGCCCCACAGCCCTGAGGTCTGCAGGGATTCGGGGATCCATGGCTCGGCCCTGCTGCAGTGCAGCTCTGGCAGGAGCCGGGACACAGCCTCTCCTACAGCACAGGGGGATACAAGTGGGAGCAAAGACAGTGTCACACCTGGGTAAAAACCACACGGGGGGAAAAAAGCTCCTCTGAGGCTAAACCCAAGTGCTAAAAAGCCAGAGTTTGTGCAGACCCCCTCCACTCTCCCCCCTCCCTTGCCAGCCAGGCTCTGAGCACAAGCAGATTTCGCAGCACAGAAGGAGCGGGAGCCACGGCTCTGCTTTACAGCAGGACAAGCAAAGCACAAAGCCTTGACCAAGGTTATCCCAGGCAGACTGTGGTAGAGCTAAGAGTTGACCCCCCCCCTTCCTCCCCAAGGCTCCAGCTCGCTGGTGTATTGCAGCATCTCCCTGCTCCGCCAAAAACTCCCCTTGAAATCTCCTGGCCAATGCAGAAGGACTTCAAGGCCAGAAATCCTAAGCTCAGCACCCCAGCGCTGAGCTGAGCCAAGAGGCACCGGCTCTGCCGGCGCTCACCCCCCGCACTGGCTGGCTCAGCCCGGCGGCTCCGGGTGCCAGGGCACACACCGTCCCGCGGGAGGACACTGCCCTTCCCAGAGCCCGCTGCCGGGAGAGCTGCGGGCATGGCCCCTCCGGAGGTGGGGCTGGGAGCAGGAAAGAGCACTGGGCACAAGGCAGGGACCCGGCAAGCACAGGAAAGCTGCTGCCAGAGGAGCACCCTTTAGCTGCTGGGACGCTCTGCAGAGCAGGGTCCAGTTACGACAGGGGAGCAGAGGGTGCGTGGGCAAAAGGGGTCTGAAACAGGAAGATGTCTTCTCTCCAAATCCTCCCTTAAATGGCAGTTCTGCTGTAAAATAGGGTAGGATGGAGCTCAGTGTTTGTTTTCTCTGCACGACCCGGGAGCGGCTCAGCCTGGGACTGCAGAGCCGGGCTGGGCTCCTCACTGACAGCCCTGCAGGAGCACGATCTGCAGCCCCGGCTCGGCTCTCCCAAACGCCCCTGCAGAGCTGTAGCTCTGTGCAGGGCTCAGGGCATGAGAGAGGAGGGGAATAAGCATCCAGCTCGCTCCCACCTCAGCTTTGTGCCCTGGCTGCCAGGGTTTGAGGCAGCAGGATGGGTGCGTGGGGGACCTGCAAGCCCTCACTGCACACTGGGAGATGCTCAGCCAGAGCCCCCGTGGCCCCACAGCTGACAGTCAGGGCAGGAAGCAAGTGATGGCAGGACACAGGCAGGAGCCGGAGCAGGGCCAGGCTCTGACCATCCCTAGGTGAGCAAGGACACTGCTGTTTACTCTCCCATCCCAAATTCTTTGGTGCCTTGGGGACTCCCCCCAGCCCTGCCTGCCCCAAGGGCCCTGCAGCAACCTCAGCAGCCAGGAAACGCTGGCAGGAGTGAGAGGGATTGAGAAACTGCAGGCAGCAGGATGAGACACGAGCCAGCACAAGCAGGATGTGACTCGGGGGTGACTGGGACTGCCGGAGGGGTGTCACCAGGAAGCGGTACCGGGGGCCCATCCTGTGCCCTCCCTCTCACGTTCCTCAGGGCCGAGCCCCAGCCCAGCCTCTGCTCCCCACACAAGTCACCAGGTCCCTCTCATGTTTTACCACCTAAATCCTCTGTTAGCAGCACGGTGATATCTTCTCCCTCCCTCCACCACAGGCTTTTGCACTGCCACCCTGCCTGGGGCTGTCGCCCAGGGCTGTCTGTTCCACCCGGGGCTGTCCCTGTCACCGCAGAGCCCCAGCCCTGTCACCCCATCTGCACAGCACACCTGATATTTCCCAAGGTTTGCTCAGCACAGACTGGAAGGCAGCAGTGGGAGGTTTGGGGCGAAGGGGAGTTCAGACACTGACTAGACTTCCCCCTTGTCCTGCCTCAAACCAGCTGTTGTAGCGCTGCAGGAAAGGAGAAAGGAGAGGATGAAGGAGGAGAAGCAGAGAAGAAAAAAAAAAACAAAAAACAAAAAAACAAACCAAAAACCAAGCCTAAAAAACACAGGATAAATATTTTTTTCCCCAGTTAACACCCAAAGCTTTGTTTTTCCACCAGCCTCCCAGGCTGATCCCAAGGTGGCCCCTTCCATGGGTGTTGTCTTCCCTGCAGCTCTCCTCTCCTGGTCCCTCACCTGCCTGTCCCCTCTGTGTGCCGTGATCCCTGATGGGTTCTCCAGATCATACTCACATTTCGCAGCTCCAGCGTGGCTAAGGAAAGCCAACTCGGCTGCCATTCCTGCAAAATGACCTGCACCAACCCCAGGCACAAACTGTGGCACCCAACCTAACCAAACATGAGAAGGGATGAGCAAAAAGCCTCCCCTCACACCACAAAATACATTAAAACCATTAAAATGCAAGGACTCCAAAGGGCAAGACTAGACACAGACTCACTGGATTTGTGGCAGTTCACCCCAAATCCACCCCAGTCTCACCCTGGTATGAGTGTGGAGGAGTTGGCATTGCACTGGTGCCTTGAGCAAGGGGACCCATTTTACTCCCTCCAGCAAGGATCAGGGTCCACCTGAGTTCCTGGGGATTCCTGGGGCCAGCCTGTGCTGCTGCAGGATGTGGGAATGCAGAAAGGGAATGCCCCCAGGGAGAGGGGCATTGCAGGGCAACGGCTCACACAAGTGTCACAACAAGCCAGTACTCAGCAAAGGGCTTCAGCTGGGACAGCGCCCTTCCAGCCAAGGAGCCAGCTCAATTCCCAACCTCTACCTGCACTTGGACTCACCAGCCATCTTTCCACACAGGGAATTATTTGCCTCAGATGAGGAAAAACAGAGCAACAGGAGATAGATCCAGCTGTCAAACCCAGCTGGATCAGCTGCTTCCTTGCCGTGGGGCAGGACAAGAGATATCAGCCTGCCATGGATCAGAGCCCAGGACACCCAACCCCTGGTAGATAAGGGCATCCCACATCCTGACAGAAAGACAGCATGGAAAAGTCCTTGTTGCACAAAGAGCTCCAACCCTGGTCCAATGGGCAACAAAATCTCAAGGGCTCCAAGATGCTGCAGCTCTCCCTTTCCATCTCTCCCCCAGGCAGGGCTGCAAAGCACAAGGACATGTTCCCAGAGGAGAGAAAATTCCAAAGCCTAGGATGGAGAAATGGAAGTGCAGGAGTGCAGTTTAGCCTGAAGGCCATGACATCCTCCTGGGACATCCCTCTGGACTCAAGAGGATGCAGGAGCAAACAACCACATCACATCAACCCCCTGAAACACACAGTCACTCTCTGGGTAACACAGTGTCTGCAAGGTGGGGCAAAACCTTTATCCTCCATCCTT